AGGGAGAGAGAGACAGACCTGAGTCAGACACCCTAGAACGGGAGATCGCAATGAAGTCATAGCCTGGTAAAGAAAGACACTATGTAGTCCCGACTGAAAGTCGGCATTGTTATTGCTGTAAATATTATTGTACATAAGAGTGTAAATAGACCGAGGTAGTTAGAGTAGGATGTACACAGAGATTTTTGATTCAACCCTTCCCCCAACTGACCCAGAGCTATCCCAGTCCCGACAAAGGCAGAACTGAGCCCAGGCAGCCAACGGCAACTGTATGCAACGAAGAAGGTTCAGAGCCAGGAGAATCCTAGTTGAGAGTAATCAAAATAACACCCCAGTCTTGGTGGCGTGACAGGTAGTGGGTAAAGACGGGGCAGGACTCGCTTTACGCCATTACAAAGTGTGCCAGTGATGGAGGAGCCAGCCAATAGAAGGATGGCGACTGAGTAATTTAGTATTATTTCATTAACCTCCCCCCTTCAAGCATAACAAATTTGTGGCAGTGGAGGTGGAATTTAGCCAATGGAGATGGCTGACAAAGTGAATTGTAGTTGTTTTTACCCACCCCTGCCATCGAAGCATTACATATGGTGGCAGAAGTGGGATATAGAACCCTGCCTGTCGCCGCAGCATAACATATGGGTACAGCGGTGGGAATAGCCAAAGAGGGTTGGCTGACGGAGTGAATGATAACGTGTTTTTCCCACCCCTGTCACCCAGGCATAACACTATGAAAAGCATTGTTTATATTTACACAGAGATCACCATAGTTTGAACTTTTAACTAACGAACTAGTGTCATCTGCAAGTAATATAGGTACAGTTTTTCATTTATAGTTCTGGGTAAATCGTTTATATAAGTGAGAAATAACAATGGACCCAGAATCGAACTTTGCAGGACACCATATCTAATTTTGCCCCATGTCGAAAATTCATTGAGATTAAGATTTATATTTGTAATTAAAACCCTATGATATCTATTCCTGAAATAAGATTCAAGCCATAGTTTAGCTTTACCCATTATCCCATAGAACTCCAATTTTGACAACAGAACCTCATGATTAACACAATCGAAGGCCTTTTCTAGGTCGCAAAAAATGCCTAATATTAAGTTTTTGCTGTTTAAGGTCTTACAGATTTCATTCACTAACTTGTATATAGCCTCGTCTGTTGAAGATTTTGTTCTAAAACCAAAGTGTTCTTCCACTAAAATGTTATTGTTATTTAAGTGCTCAATCAACTGAATGCTCATAGCTTTTCCTAATACCTTAGAGAACGAAGCTAAAAGTGATATAGGCCTATAGATGGAAATATTTATCACCTTTTTTAAACAGCAGTCTTATTTCTGAGTATTTTAAACGATCTGGGAAAATTCCTCGTCATAATGAATTGTTGTATATGCGAGTCAAAGGAGAGCTAATGAAAAATGAACTCATTCTTAATACTTTAGTGGATATTTCATCATATCCATTTTTTTTGAGAGAGAGAGATTTAATTGTATTTTGAACTTCCTTAGTTGATAAAGATTTAAGTTTAATATGTGGAAAGAGATTTATAAAAGTTTTCATTAAATACTGAATGGGAGTAGTGTCTGGAAGGTAACTAATGTTAGTATTATTTTGTTTATTTTTTTGCATATTTATTTTCAACTACAGATAAAAAGTAATTGTTAAAGATTTCCGCATTTACTTGCTTTTCTCTAATCCACTTTCTATCCACCTTTAATGTGCATATTTTTCATTATTTGGCCCCCTATTAGTTTCTAATTTTATGTATACCATATGGTTTAATTTTTATTTTTTGACTTCTGAATTTTGTTATCATATTTTAGTTTTTTAGTTTCCTTAATGACCTTAGATAAAATTTTACAGTATTTTTTATAATAGTTTCTTAATTCTGAATTATTACTGTTTCTACATGCCATATAGAGTACTCTTACATTTACAGGACGTTATTATTCCTACAGTAATCCAATCACTTATTTTATTCGAAATTTTATTTTTTTTATTTTTATATATATATATTTTTATTCATTTATTATTATTTTTTTTTTTTGAAACTGGAATAGTAAATTTTCAAGTAAGTGTCTAAAAAGGAGTTAAACATTATATTGACATCATCACTAGAAAATGCTGAGTTCCATGTTTCATAACTTAGTTTAATTAAAAAGTCATTTATTGTGTGTTTGTTTATTTTCCTTATTATTTTAAATGGTTTAGCATGTGTTCTCATGTTTATTGCTTTAAATGTTATGGATTGTGCATCATGATCAGACAGTCTATTTATTATAGGCCTTGTAGAATAATTTTCCCTTCTAGTAATATTGATGAAAATATTATCAATGGCTGTAGCAGAATTTCCTTGAACTCTGGTGGGAAAATTTATTGTACTTATTAAATTATAAGTTCTCAATAAGGTACCTAACTTGTTTTTCTTTTCACTGTCAAAAAGGTAATTTATATTAATATCCCCACAAATAATATATTTTTGTGTGTGCTGTGGTGATTTGTACAGTTTGGAGATCAGTGATACCACTGTAATTATGTAGGTCGTACCGAAAGTCGTGAGCAACATTTTTTGCATGCAACCTTGGAACAGCAGACAAAAGAGAATATGGTGGTAGGTGGAACCAGCTGTTGTGTTAACCTTGAGTGTCTTGTGACGTCAATAGCTTGCATCACGTGACCAGTATCACTCCTAACAAAATGGCCGACAACAATATGTCGTTTTGCCAGCGTGCTCTCATCGAATTTCTTGTGAAAGAGGAAATCCCTGCTGCAGAAATTCACCAGAGACTTCAGCGTGCTTATGGAAGTGTGTGCATGGGTGCGAGCAGTGTTTGAAGATGGGTGAAACATTTTAAAGATGGGAACACCAGCATTGAAGATGAGCCTCGGAGCGGTCGTCTTCGAACAGCCGCAACTGAACGCAACAAGGAAATAGTGGATGAGATCATTCAAGATGACAGGCGTGTGACTGTGGACACAATAGACTGAAAACTTGGAAAAGGGCACAGTGCAGTACAGGAGATGATTGAAAGCTTGGACTATAGGAAAGTTTGTGCTCATTGGGTCCCGCGGTTATTGACCGAAGACCACAAAGGTCAGCGAAAAGCCATCACCTCAGAACTGCTGCAGAGATATCGACACGAAGGCGATGATTTTTTTTCTCTGTATTGTGACAGGTGACGAAAGCTGGTTTCACCATTTCATGCCTGAAACAAAACAGCAGTGTATGGAATGGCACCATTTGCATTCTCCATCAGAAAAGAAGACAAAGACAGTGCCATCAGCTGCGAAGGTGATGGGCACTGTCTTCTGGGAAGCAGAGGGGTTTATTCTGGCCGAATTCCTGGAACCTGGGCAAACCATCAGTGATGCTCGTTATGTCCAGATGCTGCACAAGCTGCGTCGTGCATTGCGCGATAAACATCCGGGACGAAACATCGTCATCCTGCATGACAACGCTCACCCCCACGCCGCTCACCTCACATTGGAAGCAATTGCAAAAATGGGGTGGGAAGTTCTTCCACACGCCTCCTATAGCCCTGATCTGGCACCCTCAGACTACACCATCTTTCCGGATTTATGAAGGATCAGCTGCATGGACCACGTTTTGAGACAAGGGAGGCAATTCAGAAAGCAGTGCGTCAGTGTCTTTGGATGGCTGGAACGGAATTTGACAGAAGGGGAATTTTCAAACTCCCAGAATGCTGGGAGAAATGTGTACAAAGAAGTGGCGATTATTTGGAAAAATAAAGAAAGATCTGTAGATTGAGGTGGTGTATTGGGTTTGTCAATACTAAAGAATGTTACTTTACAAAAAATTGTTGCTCATGACTTTCAGTATGACCGTTGTACTTGTAGTTCTGGGTGGTGTGTATAAGTGGTCAGTAAATCCAGTTGTTAATCTGTACACCATCTCTAGTTCCCCTTAATTGAGACAGTATTTTTATAGCAATAAGAAAGTAGCACTATAGAATTTGGCAACTAATCCCTTTCAAATTCTTTTACTAGAATTTTTCAGCATTTATTCTAATGAAGATGCACACCCTTAGCATTTAAACCCATGGCCATTAGCCTGGTCATTAAAATCCCTAGTTCCAGATAATACAGCTTAATTGACATACTTTGTGACCTTCAGATCCAATTTAAATGCACAAAGGGGTAAAAAACCTGATAACTGGGAGTCAGGTTCTGTTGGCCTGTCTGTTCCCACAAAATGGACTCATTATTAATTTAAAATGGCTACCTTTTTGTTATGCACATTCTTGTCAGATATTTACTGAATTCATGTGACTTATGCATGTTACTACTTGCAATTGTTTTTATAAATAAAATTTAATTTCTGCCAACAACATTGGCACCACAGGATAGGGCACAAAAGTGTCGGCCTCCAAACACTGGGATAATGGGTTCAAATCCCACTGAATTTATGGATGTCTGAATTTATTATATTTCAACTTTATTTTTGTCCATAACTGGAGTTAATACAATTGGACATGTCAAGAAATAATAACGAATACATCACACGTCAAAGTCACATAAATTTACACAGTGATTTATCACTATAATATAGCAACCGTTGCAAGGAACATAATAATAAAAAATACAGAAGACCAAAAGAAAAATGTCAGAAATATAAAACATGTAAACACAATATTAAAAAATTGCAAACCAAAAGACAATCAACAAGCTAGTCATGAATCCAACATTAGTTGAAAAATTCATGAATAGAATAGAAAGTGCTGCACAACAAAGAATTTTTTAGTTTCCTCTTAAAAACATTATAATTTTTAATACTTTTCAATTGAAGGGGAAGGCAATTAAATATTTTAGTTCCCATTTAATTACACATGTTTTCAATGATCGGTATTGCAAAATTGGACATACAAATTATGTTTATGTATGGTATTGTAGCTGTGAATGTCAGAATACTGAGTTGCATATATCTTAGATGTTTGTGTTGTCTGATATGACTTATGGAACATTATTTTTCCCACAGATGCAAGTGTGGAGGATGCAGGGATATACATCTGCACAGTGGAAAATGTATTTGGGAAACTTCAGTACAAGGCCCATGTCAACATAACAGGCATTGGTAAATAATTTATATTATCATAACAAATTTAATATGAAAGTTACAGTAAATTCACTACATTTTGAACTGTGATAGGAAAATTTAGTAATAGAAGTCTTAACTGCGTAAGGTACATCACTTAAAAGACCACAGTAATTTAATCTTTCAGCATTAATATTTAGCTGCCTTCCACAGGACTACTTGTTATTATCCCATGAAACAGAGCTTTTCGTGATATTATAATGAATGTGACTATTGCTGGGCAATGGTTTGGTAAGCACGTTCCCACTGCAATGGATAAAAAGGAATAATAGAAGAACTGCAAGACATGGTGACATATTTGGTTCACCCCAAAGTTATAAAAGAGTTCAGTTCAGTTAAGTTCAAGAGAGTTCAGTCACAAGTGAGTCGTGATTTGGCATTTGACATTTTTAAGAGAACTGAGAGTTTGATAGTTCAGTCTTCAGCTGTGGAGTGCTAACCAGTGGACAACGGAAGCTGGGAAGTGACCTACTCCTAAATCTGAACAAAGTCAGTCACACAGAAGAGAAGACGCTTGTGGTCCAGTAAGGAATGAACCAAGTTTGAGACATTCATCGATTGAGAGCTGTTATGATTGATTGTAATTAATAGTGAATTTAAAGAAGTGCCAATAAATCCAATCATCCAATCCAGAACACATTGTATTAATCACACAAACCCCTCATACATGGGCGTATATAGGTGTTGTTTTGAAGTTACTCCTACACACTAAGCTTTAAATCATCTTATCATGGGACAGAAATAATCTTGTACCAGTTTTACATTTAAGAACTTGTTTAAATAGATATACATGTGTGTTCCAGTGAAGCCCATTATTGATAAGAAGAATGGAAACCATCCACAGACCACAGTCAAACGAGGGATGGTGGTAGAATTGCCATGCAAAATCATCTTGAGCAATCCTCCGCCAGTCATAATGTGGTACAAAGATGGTGAGATTCTTGATGAAGAACAGATGCAGTGGGAAGGCATAATTATACTTACTAATGGATCACTCGTTATTTCATACACTACACAGGAACATGAAGGAACGTATGAATGTGTTGCCAGCAATGTTGGAGGCACTGTCAGCCAAGCTGTTACACTGCATGTGTTAGGTGAGTTTGTGTCACAGGCTTTTCTTTTGGTTTTTGTGACCTGTGTATAGCCTCTATCATCAGCTCGTCATACAACTGTACTGATGCATGCAACATCGGGCCTAGTGTTATGTTCTTTTACAATACAGATCCCAGTGTCATCAAGTGTAAATTCCAGATGGAAATGCTGCAGTAGTGGGAGATGAAAATTCGATGATAAAGGCTAACATGTAATTTCAGCCTTTTGGGATTTAACTGCATTCTGTGTTGAAGTTGTTCCAACATTCTGACATGTATTGAATGACACAAAGAATATACAAGGGATGGACAAAAATATGGAAACACCCAACAAAAAACACATTACCGTGACTAATATGGTGTAGGATAACCTCTGGCCTGCAGAACTGCTTGCAGTCTCCTTGGAATGGATAAATAGAGGTCCTGTATGATTTGCAAGGGAATCTTGTACCATTCTTCCTGAAAAACGTGGTAAGTTCTGTTATCGATGATGGAGGTGGATAGCGCTCACGCAGATTGCTCTCCAAAACAGACCACAAAGGCTCAATAATACTGATATCTGGCGATTGTGGGGGCCATGGCAGATGTGACACTTCATCTTTGTTCTCAGAAAACCAGTCCTGGACGATGTGAGCTGTGTGAACACAGACATTATTGGCTTGGTAAATGGCATCACCATTAGGGAACAAAGTTTTGCACCACGGGACAGACCTGGTCGCCCAAAATGGTCACATAGTCATTGGCAGTGACGTAACCTTGCAGGATAATGATGGGTCCAACAGAATACCATGATATGGCTGCCCATACCCCTGCCATGTTTCACTCTTGGCAGCAAACAATCTGGATTGTAAGCTTGGGCTGGCGTTCTCCAGATGTAAACTTAGCCAGAAGTCGGAAACAGTGCGAAGGTGGACTCATCCGACCAAATGACCATCTTCTATTGCTCCGTAGTCCAGGTTTTATGACTTCGGCACCACACTGTCCTCTTGGTGTCATTTTGATCACTGATGAGTGGCTTTGGAATTGCAGCTCGTCCAGAAATACCCTGCTTGTGGAGTTCCCTTTGTACTCTTTTGGTGCTGACAGGGTTTGTGAGTGTGACATTCAGTTCAGCAGTCACTTTTGCAGCCGTAGTCTTCTTATTTTTCGTCACAATCCTACACAATGTTCATCTGTCTCGATCACTCAACACACATTTCTGTCCACGCTGCTATTTATCGGATGCGGTTTTTTCAGTCCTCCTGTATGCGGTCATAATCTTGGATACTGTGCCTCGCGAAACACCAAAAACCTCGGCTACCTTGGTTACGGAAGCACCCACCATATGGGCCCCAACAATTTGCCCGTGTTCGAATTCTGTTAGCTCTGATGTGATGCACAAAAAATTGTACAGAACACTGTCTTGACAACAAATGAAGCTTGCAGCATATTGCAGAAGTTGTACAAGTAGTGTTGGGCAGATACGACAGCGTGACCTACAAACTTTGCTGAAATAAACACTTCAATTCAGGCATGCATTTCACGAGGTGTTTCCATATTTTTGTCCATCCCCTGTATGATCCAGTATGGTTACACGTCAATATTTGCAAGTTCGAAAAATCTGGTTTCATTTTGATGCAGTCCACTAATTCAGACAGATTTCAATGAATAGTACTTACTTCAAAGCAGATTATATTATATTTGAGCATCCTGTTGCATTGATATAGCATTCACTCATTCACCTCCAAATTTAATGCAAATTAAAACTGTTCACAATCTCTCTTTAATTTATAATAGCATTAAAATCACATCAATTGCTACATGTTTTGTCCCTACTTGGTCATGTACAAGCAGTCATTCACTTCCTGAAACTGTTGTACTGCACTAGATCATTAAGTCGTTGTACTTCCATGCTGTTGCATGTTGTTGTTCAAACTAAAATGTGTATGTTTGAGAATAAAACTCTCTGTTCTGTGTTATTTTCCTTATGTGGCGTCCATATTTGTGCCCCCTTCATATATTCTCACTAGCTGGGTGTTCGAAACATGTAGCAGTTGATGTGATTTTAGTGTTTAATTGTTCCTTGCATCCTGTTGTGTATTAAATGAATATTAGAGTTAATTTTACCGACCACACAACACGTTTTTTATTTACTGTCACACTACATGTTTCGACCTCAAGAGGTCATCCTCAGGTGTACGAACACAGTTGCACAATCACACGCAATCACATTCGTTTTTCCACTTATTTTGATCCTGTATCCTGTTCAGGTCCATGCACAAATAATATGTGTCAAGTTCTTCTTATAAAATATAAGTTAAAAATAAGTTAAAAATACAAATGTTAAAAGTTAAAATTTAGAATTTAAAATTTAGTTCACTGTAGCTAGTTATATTATTACCACTTGGTTAAAAAGTTCATGAAATAAACTTCAACTCATCACATTGACTGCACTTTCACTTTTTAAGGTCTTGTTGTTCTTCGGCGTCCTCTGATGTTGGATCTATTACGTTCCTTGTCGTGATGGCTACTCACGACAAGGAACTCAGAAACTGAATATACACAAATTTTGCATAACCCCGTCCTACTCTCTGGGCATGTTTGTAAGGAGCCCAATCTACTGTGAATCAGATAGGAGGATGGTACTTAGTCAGATGGGATGTGCAATTTAAACAACAAATCGAAGAGTGTAACCAGTTAACACTTTGCGGACCGGAAATTTAAATATTTAAATCACCCTGGGGAACGGCATTTTTAAACCTACTACCCTAACTTGTGCACTGTTCACTTTAAAAAGTAATATAAAATCTCATAATTAATTTCATCAACTAAAATTTTTGGAGAACACTTACCAATGCTCCTAGAAGTGCTTGAGAGTGTGATATTTCTGGAAACATTCCCCTCTGTGAAGTGGCATTACACAGAACTTGCAAATATAGGCAGTCATTCTCCTTTTTCTGTGAACTGTGCAAACACGACATTGCCTAGAAGGATGCTTCCCCTTGGAATGTTCACTCTTCACAATTTTCAGGAGGGTATTTTTCCGCATATCACCCGAGAGTCGCCCAGGGGGTCCACATGAGGCCTGAGAGGGGTGGGAGTTGGTGGTCCCGGTCGCACTAAGTCTTTGTCTGACTCTCGTTCTGCCGCTACCATCTGGTCTGTAGCCCAGGCCTTTGCCACATTCATCAGAAATGCTTTGTATTTCAATTTCGAATTGGGGTTTAGATTTTTGTAAACCAAAAATGAATTGAAAATGGCACAATTTATAAGTCACAAAGTAACTTTCTTTGTCCACTTTTTTGTTTATCTAGGAAGAGAATAATAGGCCAAGTATTGATCAGCTCTATCAACTCCCTTCATGAACATATTATACTCAGAAATACAAATAGGCTTCTTTACTTGTCCATGTCTCCTTTGAACATGAATCATGCTCGAATTGTGAATTGTGGAAATCATATTCACAACACAACAGTTCTGCTACTTCAGACACTTGCGTTGTATCCGATGGTATTTGTTTCACCCCTGAATTTCCAGTAAACTATCCCAAAGTAGGCGTTTTGTCTACTTTTCCCCATGTGGCTGTACCCGCAATTTTACTACCTACACTTTCGTCAGAGCTACATTCACTTTTATTTTCTGTGGCTACACTTTTTTGTTGACCCCTGTCACTGCCACTGTCTCAGTTTTACTACTCCTCTCACAAGGCACGCCAAATAGCTCATCGGAAAACGAGTAGGATATTTCTTTTTCTCCGAGATATCACTTCGTCTTCAACCGCTTCTGTCCTTGATTCATATTGCACTAACATCCTGCCTGGTACATAACAGCTTGAAGGGTCAAAGATTATTTTCCTTTGGAGGGTGAACCAAAACAGCGAGGTCAAGTTACTACCTACTAGGCAAATATTCCAGAGTAATATTATGCAGTAGTCATTCATTTGGGTGGCGCCAGAGAGATGTATAGTGTGTTCCAACTTATCGTGTTCTAAAAACCAGTTAACAGGTGAACGGTCCACCATGTTTAAAAGCGAAAAACCTTTTAAAGGGTGTGCGGTCTGCAAAGAGTTAAGAAATTAAATATATATTGCAACATAATGATTAAAAATCGTCTGATGTTAGGTAAGGGTTCGACAAACCCGCGGGCCATCACCAGGCAACAGTTTGCTTGCATGTCACACAGAGGAGCTGTTAGAAGCGGTGTCTCCTCTGCGGTCCATACTGAGGTTATATAACAAGAGTCTCCAGGCGATATTCAATAAATCTAATTATGAATCCAAACCCTGATGCCTTCATTGCATGTGGCAACATATTTAATTAAACAAAGGTTATAATACAAACATTACTCAAGTTCAAGCAGAATAATTACCATGCTCAACAAACAAACACTGAATCAATAAATAAAGAAGGCCAGAATGTAGTTGGTAATCAAAAAGAAAATTAACACGTCTACGCATCACCTGCCATTCCAAAGTTGAAAAATGCCATCTAATGAGAAACCAGAAACTCACTTCAGTAGGCGCTATGCAGGCTGATTGTTAGGCCCAGGAGGTAGCAGCAGTTCAGACAGCTTTAGAAGAAGAGCCAGACAGAATTTCCAAAATAATCTCACAGGGCAAGATACCCTCGACTGAGTTAGAGGTTCAGTGCCAAGAGAGGGATAAGGGTAGAAAGGAGGTAAAGTAGGGGATGCATGCTGAGACACAGTGCCTGTATATTCTAACTGAAGCAGATTATGTCATTTGTGAAGCAACTACAGGAAAATGCACATGTTTAGCATTAATGTGTTAAGCATGTGGCATTATACAGAGTGATTCTAAATTATTGTCGGGATTTCCATGGCCCATATAGTTTTCAAACTGACAACAACAAAACAAACCTGCTGATGGAACATGAAAGTGTGACTCAAAAATTTTTATTTCTTTCAGAATCAATGCTGTCAATGCTAAACAACCTCACCATTCACTCCTTTCTTGGCATGTAAGGTTTGAAAATTATATGCCTGACAGTAATTTAGAATCACTTTGCATAATGGTGAGGCAAAAAATAGACAAATACCTAGATACAGACAGAATCTCTGTCACATGAGATCGAAATCTTAATTTGTTTGTGCCATTCTGAGATTTAGGAACTGCATTGTCTTGAAGAGAGTAAGCAGCCTTTAATTTTGTTTGATTTGAAGTTGTCACAGAAGTGACAATAAAGAATATTGTATTTTTGCTTGAGCATATTTGTGAAAGTATAATTAGGTAATCATGTAATACTCTGTATGATGACCTTAATAGAACATGATTGGTACATTTTATTAAGAGGTGCCAAAAACTGACATGTATAAACCCCAATGAGATGAAGAGATGTAATAATTTGTGCCCTTTCACTGAGCACTGTTTTATTTTTGAAATGAAATGTCAGAAAGTTTCAGTATGCTTTGAATTATTCTTTACCTTCAGTTTACAGCTGTAGCCATTCTGCTCTTTGTAGAACCATTAAGTTTCCCTGTATGTATGTAGTAAAGATATACTCATAGATGCTCTACAGTGAGTGAGCATGCACCCTTTTCCTTATTCTTCATTCCCTTGATCATAAATATGCGTTTTTTTTGCATTTGTTATAGAACCCCCTAGCTTTCCACCTGCAGGGCCAGTTGAGTTCAAAGTGCTGGCTGGCGATGACATCGTGATACCATGTCCAGCACTGGGCGATCCTGAGCCCATTGTCACATGGAAGAAAGATGGGCTGCCTTTGTCTCTTAGTCACACTGTGTAAGTAACTGATATAAAATTAGCCTTATAGTAATTTATAGTTGACATTCTGTCCAGCTTCTTGAAGTATGTTCATTATAATTCCTAGGCTAGATATAATAAGCTTTATGGTTTACATCCTCTTGTGTGTTTGATAATCATGTAAACTGGTCTGTCAGCACAGCATAAAAGTATCTTCAGGGTGGAGTCCAAATAGATGCTACTGTGTCATTATTGTATATTTATTATGCAAAAATGTATGTATGGTATTATGGTATTAAAGGAAGTATTTTGAAATGGCTCAAATCATATTTACATAATAGGAAACAGAGAACTGTATTACGCACTCATGACTCAACCACCTTTCTTTCTAGATGGGTAACCTGCAGACGTGTTCCCCAGGGTTCTGTCTTGGGACCATTACTATTTAATGTTTACATTAACGACCTGCCATGTACACTAGATGGTTTGGCTCATACCATTCTTTACGCAGATGATACCACCATTATTGTTTCCTCAAAAGACATCACAACATTGAATCATAAAATAAATAAAATAATGAATCATATCTGTGAATGGTTTCAAAATAATCAATTAGCCCTTAATCTAAAGAAGACGCATGTAATTAAATTTACTACGCCCGTGACCATGGACTATCCATTACATGTGGAATATAATGATCAAGTTCTTAATATTGATGAAAGTGTTAATTTCTTGGGTGTGTGCCTTGACAGTCATCTCAAGTGGAAACAATATTTGGATAATTTAATAAAAAAATTAAGTACTGCAATTTTCATGCTTAGAAAATTGCAGCCTACGGTGAGTGGACAAGTTTTACGTATGGTTTACTTTTCTCATGTGCAGGCTCAATTTAATTATGGTATCATTTTTTGGGGCTCTTCATCATTAATGAAAAGTATATTTACTGTACAAAAAAGAGCATTAACCCTTTGACGTGGTCATTTAAATTCCGCGGCCACGGCTCCTGCGGTAATATATTCAGCCGGCCATTTAAATATTGCTCGAAAATGATTTATTCATCATTGTTCTTAAATTATATGAGATAGGATCATGAAACTTTCAATTAAATGATCTTAAAAGGTGGTTTTATAACCTTGCCTTATAATATGAGCGCCCGTTATCTCGGCAATGGAAGCAGTTGGTTTAGAGTTTGAACAGTGTATCGTACGCCTTGAAGCATGAAACTTTCACTAAAATGATCTTAAAAAATTGTTTTATAACTTTGCCTTATAATATGAGCGCCCGGTATCTCGGTAGTGGTTCAGATTTTGAGCCGAGTGTTGCACGCATTGAAGCATTCTACTATACACAGCGCTGACTCACATCACCATACCAGTACTGCGTATCTCTCTCATTTGGCTCATTTCCGTAAACAAAACATCTTCTGTGCGGCCTTGCCTTCCCCGTGGGGGGAATATAAGAAGAAATGTCTCTCCGTGAGTCGTATCGCTACCCAGATTAGCTGCAGTAAATTCAACCTTTATGTTATCATAACAAGTGTTGG